AAATTAGAAGGTTGCCACCTGTTTGAAATCTCTAAGCTCGAAAATTTCGTAATATAAAGTTACGCTACAAGTTGATGAAGTTTGTTAAAGCTTGGAATTCAAAATATTTTTTCAAGATGGTTATCATCTAGTTACAAATATATAATCGATAAAATAGGCAAACAATTAATATATTAAAATATCCAAATAAAAAAAGTTAAACATTTTCTGTGTTTTAAAGATTTACTTCGATGTAAGACTCCAATAGTTCCAGTCATCTGTCCCTTTTTTTAAGGAATTTGCAATTAAATTAATTTTTAAAGAGGTTGCCACCTTGTGAAAAATATTAAAATAATAAAAAAGCTGAAATAAATAAAAGTTGAGAGTATTAAACATTATACTTTTTTTTAATCTTTTTATTCGGTACGGTGTAATAATAAAAATAATTAAAAACAAAAATTAAAGAGGGTTGCCATCTGTCTGCAAAAATCTGAAAATTTCTCAATATGTTTCTTTATATATTTTAATGTTTAAAAAAGTTTAGAATTGAAAATAATTTTTCAAGAGGTTTGCCACCTGTGTAAGTAAATATGTATGTAGCTCAAAATTTTATTCGTATTGCAATATTAAAATATAAAATTTAGAATTTCGAAAAAAAATTTTCAAGAGGGTTGCCACCTATGTATGTAAATTGCTCCACATTTCCTTTCATAAAAATTTACAAAATGAAAATTATTACAATATTAAAAACATAAAATTTTGAATTTCTTTGTACTAAATATTTTTATCGCAGTCCCTACCACCTTTCATTTCTTACCATACAATGCTTTTGGCTTGCAATTCTGCTCGTATAGACAACATATGCGAGCTTATACTATATATTTGTGCGATTGTCAAAATGTTATCCTAACTTGCACATTATTAGTTACTCAATCATATAAAGTGCAATTTCACTGCAGCTGAGCACATACTACAGTCTAGTCCTTTGCACCTACGACGGTGAGCCACGTAAGTTGCTGCAACGTGGAAGCAGCATCACTGCATAAGCAACCAATAAAGATGTAATTATATGTAGCGCCGTGTATTGCAGCACGTAAGTCAGTTAGCTTTATTGAATACGAATTTGAATTTAACTGGCCCCCCTGCCAATAGGAATGATAAGCACAACGAGACGATGATGAAGCCGTGCAATGTGCAACCAGCAGACGACTTGGCAGCAGCAAAGCAAGTATTGAGCCTAGATTTGTTTATTTATGTGTGTGTGCAGTGATCAATTTGAATGGCTGCGGATGCGCTGCGCTGATATGACAGCAATAACTAATAACTAATGGGCGCAAAAAAGGCGAATGAAGTGAACACACACATATAAACAAGTATATGCAATATAACTCGCAAGCACACATTCACATACATAGCTTCATACACACACACACACGGCTAACCATTGAAATGCACTGTGCATTAAAGCAAATCAACCACGTCGCTTTGTGCGCCAAGTGGGTCGTCCACGTAGGCAGGCGTATGACAATTTCAGTGTGGCTCGTTTATTAAAATGAAATAGCGGCGAGGGATTTCATAGAATAGTGGAAATATATAGAGCAAATGGCATTGCTAGAGGTGAACTAAGCGGCATGAAGGCCCCCAAACAGCATTGGCTATGGTAATGCCAAACGGAAATGACAATATTTGCTGGTAGTTTGTGTATGCAGTTCCATAAGTAATCGCAAAGCTGGTTAATAGGGAAAGCGCATACAAGAAAAAATAACATTAAGTATTTATTTTGGTTAAGAAATTTAAAATTTACAAAATTTAACGCAATTTAAATGCACAAAAAGGTATTAATTGACAAAAAGCACGCATTTTATTCAAAAAGCTTTTAGTAAGCTTTCACCGTTTTTATCAATTTTAATTTCGTTAGAAATTTTATTATCGGGCAATATTCAACGTTTTATAATCGCAATAAGCATTAATTCATATTTTCGGGCTTCCAGAAAATAATATTAGAATATCGATTTATTTCGGGATCCCGCTTTCATATATCGAAAATTCGAGGTTCAATAAAGTTTATGATATTTATATTATATTTATTGATATTTATATTTAAATTATATTAAGACTTTAACTTATACCCGAAATGTCAATATATAAAACGGGATCCCGATTTTATCGGCAGGTTATTATTATTATATGTTTACACAGTCAAATTACTGTTAGAATACATACACTATAAATAACTTTTTAATCGTGTCAGTATCGGTATGTTGACATATAAAAACGTGATCCCGAATTGAATTTTAATATATTAAAGTTAAATTAAAAGACCTGAAGCAATTTAAATGCAGATAAATGTAGTATTTGAAAAAACAAGCATTATATTGAAAAAGCTTTTTTAAGCTTTCATCTTTATTAAGAATTTTCATGAACTTTAATTTTAGATAATATCAACATAATTATGAACATTTTGTTATCACATTAATTATTACTAAACATAATATTAAAAATTTTTTTAATCCCGAAATATCAGTATATGAAAACGGGATCCCGAACGAATCGGGGTTTTATTATTTTTTGATGTTTATAATATCTAAGTTATAGTACAGTTTCTAATATATATATATAAATTTTTAATACCGTCGATATCAATATGTCGGTATATAAAAACGGGATCCCCTACTTAATCAGCATTTCATAATAATTTTTTAGTATCTAAATTCAGATTATCTATTATAATTTTTTTTTTGTAACTACTATTATTTTTTCAAATTACAGTTAAGAAATTATAATAAAATATTAAATTATAAATATTAAAATATTTTTAGTAAATCTTTTAAGACTATTCAATCAAATTCGCACCTAAATGAAGGAATTTTGACAACCGTGCTTTATAACTTTTATTTAGTCCCTAAATGTCCATTGGTGAAAACGGGATCCCGAATTGATTAGATTTTTTATTATAAATAATATAGTTTTTGAAAACTGGGAGTTAGACTAACTAATCAAATCTGTGCTAAGAAGCTTACAGCTAGGTGGAAGACGATTTTTTAAAGCCTTTGAAAGCTTTGACATTTTTGAAACCAAAAATGAATTTTTAAATTGGCACTACATTCATATTCAGAAATTCATTGCAACATTGGCACATCTTTCTTCATTCGCTAAAATATTAATTCAAAAGGTTTTGACGGTAATAAAAATAAATATTCAATATTCATATTCAAATATTGTTACAAGCTTTTGGAATATAATTAATTTTATTTTAAAATTACGTCGAAGGGCGTTTTGAATTTGCTCATTCCAAGATCACGAAAACTTAAAAAAGCTCAGTTTTAATTACATAAACTTTTTAAGTCTGTCAGCAGTAGTTTTTTCTATGTAATTGTTATTAAATTGAACCCCATTTTGAATTTGCATAGCTAAATTCAGCATCCTGAAAGCAGAAAAATCTTTAAGTTCGGTTGTAAATACTTCTTCGTTATATTGAAAGCAATTTTAAAAAGCTTTTTTTCAAATCTTATAAGTATGCAACTTTGAACTTTGTTCCTCTTTTGTATTTTTGCTTTTTTTAACAGTTTTCTAGACTCAGTTTCTTTTTTCAAATCATTTCTACCATTCTTCTACCATTTTAAGGTCTCAACTCACATCGAGATATTTTTAAGACATTAGTTTCTAACGGCTTTAAGTACAAATTTGACTTTACATAAAACAAAAATAAAAACATTTCCAATCATCACCTAGAAATTTCGTCCATTTCTCACACGCATCACTTATACGCCACGTATGCCTTGGCTTCTTAAGTACACTTTGATAACAATTATGTAATTGCTAAAGTAATTTCGTTGCCATAAACTTTTATATGCAACGTTTTCTAAATCTATAAATGACTGCATGCTGATATATGTACATATAAGTTTGACGCATGTATGTGTGCGTATGTGTGTGTAGACGCTCAAAAACTTCGAAAGAATTCAACAACTTGCCACGCAAATAACGAATTGTGTTGCAGTAAAAACTTTTCGTCGCTTACATAAGCCGCCATAAACTATCGTTTAGTACGACGAGCCAACACTTTTTGCTGAGCTGTCCTACCCACACCCCACCTTAGCACTTCACAGCATTTCCAGCCTGCGCTTCTTTGCTCTACCATTTCCCACAGCCAATTGCGTGCAAACAAATGGAATGCTTAGGAGTGGCGAGCAGCACGGCGGCAGAAAAAACGACATCAATTCGCCAAGTGATTTCGTTGAAAAGCTCAACAAAAGTGCTGCATTTGTTTGTGCCACAAATGGTTGCAAGTATGCAGTGGTGTTGATTCAATGGCTTTAAACAGGCTTTGTTGCACGCAAGAAAAGTGCCAGAGTGATTGTAGCACATGTACAAACCAGAAAAACTACTGGAACGGGTGGAAACGTGAGAGAAGCGCAAAAAGTTAGTTAAAAATATTTTAAAGAGCTAACTGCTGTACATTTTCAACTGGAAGCACTTACTTAGCTTTTTTATTAATTTTTGGTTTAGTCATAACAGCTTTTAAGGCGCTGTTGATTATAAAGGTAATAGATATGTCTGTGTTTGCGTACCTACTTCAATCTTTCACTTGCTATAGTTGAAATAAATTTGTGGTCTTGGTAGCCAACTTTGCATTTGGTTATTAAAAACTCATTAAATGTAACGTAATACAAGCTGCGCCTAAAATTATGCCACAGTGGTTTTTAGCAGCTTAATATGCGCACTTTTTTATATTGTGTACGCTAGGGCCGAGCAGTATTAAAAAAGAAAATAAATAATACAAATTTATTTGAATCTAAACAAAGTTAAATAAAAGCATGATACGTTCGCGTAAACTTTATGACGTACCATTACCAATATTTTAATAATACCGAGCTCAATATTAATGCCTTTATCATTATAAATAATAATAGAAATCCCAATATCAGTACTAATACCAATACATATAATATATCAGTACCGCACTACCACCAATATCAAAACCAGCACTAATACCAATATCAATACCAACACCAATACCATTACCAAAAGGTACAAATACTAATACCAATACCACTATCAATAATAATATCAATATCACTATTTATATCAGTACGAATGCCAATATCAAAACCAATTTCAGTACAAACACCAATACCAATATCTAAGTGTATTAGTCCTAAGACCAGTATTAATACCAATATCAATATCAGTACTAATATCATTACCTATATCAGTACCAATGCCAATATCTGCACCAGTACTTCTGCCGTTATCTATATCACTACCAATACCAAGATCAAAACCAGTATTAATACCAACATCAATACCAATACTAAAACCAGTGCTAATACCAATATCAATAGCAACACAAATACCAACATCAATACCAATACCAAAACCAGTGCTAATACCAATATCAATAGCAACACAAACACTAACATCACTACCACTCCACTACCACTACCAATAAAAAATACCAATGCCAATACCACTACCACTACCAATACCAATACCAATACCAATACCAATATCAATACCAATATCAGTACCAATATCAGTACCAATACCAATCCATATAATATATCAGTACCGTACTACTACTAATATCAATACCAATAATAATAATAATTACCAATACCAATACCAATACCTGTACCAATACCATTACCAATACCAATATCAATACCAACACCAATACCAATACCAAAATCTATACAAATACTAATATAATTACCAATACCAATACTAGTACTAATTTCCAATACCAATACCAATATCACTACCAATACTAATACCAATATCAGTACCAGTACCAGTACTAAAACCAATATGAATAGTAATACAAATAGCAATACCAGTATTGATGTGAATACAAATACAAAATCCAATTCCAATCACCCATTACCCATTACCGAAACCCATTCCAATTAACAATATCGTTAACAATACTAATAAGTATGTATACATATAACAGTACAGTGCAAAAAGCAGTATCAATACAATTACCAGTATACATTACAATACTAGCACCACATATCAGTACTAATCGCTGCCAATATAAATAAGTTTAAAAAACAATACCAATACCAAGCCCAATAAAAATACCGAATCCAAGTGCAATATCAAAACAACTGCTATTTCGCCAGTGACGTCATAATTTAACACAACTACTTGCATTCTTATATCGATTCTAATACCGCTACATCACATTATAGCCTACTTTCTGGTTTTGGAAACACAACGAAAAGCCAAAAAGCAAAACATTAAAAACTCAACAACATTTTGTACTGCGGCAGCAATCAATTGCAAAAAGAATAATACTACCAACAGACGTCAAGCGCTTTATAACGAGCAAACCGCGGTAATAATAATAATAATAACGACAACAACAAACAGCTGCATTAAACACGAGTATTTTCGAAAATGCAAAACCATAAAGTAAGTGAAAGAGTTTTATTTACCAACAGCTTATTGCCAACTGCAATGCATTGCTTCGAAAGTCGCTTACGAAATGAAACAACATTATAGCAAAAGTCTCAGAGCATTCACATACATATATGCAAATGTGTCTGATCACATAACAACTCGTACGTTTGAACTTTGAGCACGAAGGTAAAACAAAAAAACATCGAACATTTTGAAAAGTAAACAAAGAGTTGGCTTGCATTCCCAAGCGAACGATCGGTTATGGGCTATTAAATGAAAAACAAATTCAAACCGCCTAAAAGTAGACTTCGTTGCATGTAGGTGTCTATATTGCCTTTACCTTCAACTCTACCATTGGTGCTGTGATGGATGTTGCTTTTTATTGCTGCATTTACCGCGAATCTGCAAATATTGCTTATATAACGTTTGTTGTTGGCAATGAATTTTGGCAGCACGCGGTATATACCCGTAAGAATATACGAGACTCTCGTGAGTTATAAAAGTGTGATTGCGATTTTCGTGGATTTTTTATCTGAAGTCAGAGCCTTTCAAACCCAATATAGTGATTTATTGAGAGACCTTGAACTGTACTTAAGATATCTGAGGCTTAATATGTCATAATGTTTCTACTACGAAAGACAACTATGCATTCCTATGTAAATAGGGTCGTCGACTATTGGAGAACTCTTTTATGAATAGTGCCAAAAAACCTAAAAATCTGCTTTAGAGACTCTTATAATATTGTCCTACTAAATATTAAAATATTTGTTTCTTCTTTTTTGAAACTATTAACTCAATCTTGCAAAAACTACAGGAGCGCTAAAATTCCATTTTGCCTTTTTTCACTTAAAGACCCTTTCTAGAAGTTTTCTTATGTAAGCCATTGAGAAAGAGAGAGATGCAAACATAGAAAAAGGTTGAAATAATTCTGATTCTGGAGCTGTTTTCTCAAAGCAGTAGGGGTTTCTTCATATTTTGACTGAGTTGTGGACTTGTTTAAGGGGATATGTCCACTCTCTGTTTTAGTCAAGGTTGGGTTTAGTTATTTTCTTATTTAAATCCAATGGGAAAGAGAGAGATGGTTAGAGAGAGAGATAGGTTGTGAAACAACTCTGATCCTGGAGCTGTTTTCTGAAAGGAGGAGGTGTTTCTTCGTACTCAGACTGAGCTCTAAACTTTTTTAAGAATAATACCGAGAGTCTCTTTCAGTAAATATTATGTACAGTCGTGCGTATACGAAATTTTGAAACTAGTTACTAACTAGTTGAAAATGAACTGATCCGAATTTAGCACATTTTGATATATTTTTTGGGATTTATTTTCTTTTTTATTTTCTTACAGGTCCTAACATAATTAATAGTAAAAGACTCTCGAATTCATATATTAAAACCAGAATACTATATTCCGCAGTACCGCCACAAAGTTTCCTCACTTTCAGATAGAGGTTGTTTAGTGCCTATCGAAGAAAGTTGGTTATTGAAAGCCTGCGTTACGAATTACTAACTAGTTTAAAATAAACCAGTCCGCATTTAACTCATTTTCATCTCATTTTTGGTATATATTTTAATTTCCTGCAGGTCCTAACATCCAAATAGGCTAAGGCGTAAATGAGTAGTATTAAACATATTATAGGTAAATTGGCAAAATTTTGGCAATGCGCTACTACTCAGTTCAGCATTTGAGTTGTTGCTCTTTCTATATAAGGTGTTTCCTTAGAAGTATAAATTTGCTAGAAGATCGATTAACTGTCAAAACAAAATACATGTGTATTATATCACAAAAATTCTTGTGGGACCTCTGATTTGATCCAATTGACCGAAAGTATATGAAAGTATATTCTTCGTTAGACATGGATGCATTTCAATCACTCAAGCACAAAATATTGTTAACTCCTTTCACTCCTCTGTGTTTTCTTTCAAACAAAACTTAGTTGTCTCTAAAAAAAAAAGACCCTTTATTATGCCTTTCCGCTGCTTTTTCATAAATCACTAACACTTTTATGGATTTTAGTATGATATTTCTTTGTTATTGCATTCAAAGTATTGCCGGAATAGCGTGACATAGCCGAGGCACGATCGCTTGATTACATGCCACACTGTGATTACATCAAAATGTCAACGTCAACGCCAAGCTAATGTCACATTAAATAACTCCTTATTGCATTGCGAAATATGCCTTTTTTGTTTTCACAGAGAGTTATATTAACTTTTACGTAAGTATATTTCTTTAAGGAATAGTGAGTCAGGAAAGAACTTAAATCCCAAGCAAATAATTAGAAATTAGATTAGAAGACATAAGCCAAAAAAATTGCCTGAGTGCACTGCCTTCAAACGAGACTTGTGAAAGATGAGACGGGGATCCTCTTTCCCTCCATTGGAAAAACCAATAGTTGTACTAAGTAGTACAGTCTAAGTTTTAGCAGAATCTCTTTGAAAACAAAAATAACTCGATAATCATTGAAATCCATTGCAGCCCGAACGCTGATATTCAAAAATTATGACAGAGACCCTTCAACATATCCCGCTTGTATGAATGATTATCATCTCAATCTTAGCATTGCAACATCAATTTTGAACAAGCCGAAGATACTCCATGAAAGGTAGAGAATGTATGGACGAAACATCAAAATGCTGTTCCGACATCGCACACAGACGTTAGCTTTTCAAACTCTCTTCTGAAGATGATATCGCGATACTCAAAACAGCGCTACAAAACACAGATGACGCACTCAAGTAGCAATTTAAGTACCAATTATTTAGATTCGAACTATAAATCTTGAGAGCAATGGCTTCTGGTATTACTTTAACCACTTTTTTTCATGCTGCTCTTACACTCGTCTCGCCAAAGATGCAGAAAAACTAAGTATCCCTTAGATTTCAAGCAATAATATGACCCCACTAAAGCGGATTTAGGTAGTCGAGAGAGCTTTTTTACGAAAAAGTTAGCTGAGAGAGTTCCAAATCAATGTGAATAGCAAACGGAAACCTTCATTTTCTTGTAGGCCAAGTATATTCACAAGAAATGAGTAAAATTATATCTGTGAAAGTATTAGGCACTCTCCCACATCTGCGAGTTCCAAGCCATTTTGAATACCTGTTTCATACTTACAGGTCTTCTATTCTCTTGCAGCTTGCTTTTCATATGATAATTGTGTATATGTTACATTCATAAGAAGTAAATATTATTCCATCTATTAGTTAGCTTCGCGAGAGAATGGATTTTAAGCCATTTTGAATAAAAATAATTGTAAATACGGGATTCTCACATTCTTGGAGAACATATATTCTATTATAACTGTAACATATTTTTCCTATGAGAGTCACACCTACGAGTTACAAATTAAATGGAATAACTTTAAAGCCGTAATTACGGCATTTTTAAGCTTTCGAAGAAGAACTCATCCTTAAAACGCCGAAAAGTGGACAATACCAGCTCTATTAAATACTTCTGTTACAAACATTCTCCAACATCATCATATTCAAAAATTTACATTACCAATCCCTATCTAGAGATGCCATCTCCGAGAGTAGATAGTGTTGAATTGAAATAGTTTTCGAAAAAAAGCGTTGAAAAATAAATATCATCAACCCTTAATGAATTTCCATATTGCTATTTACATATATTGAGGTACATAAATTCTCGAAATATTCTTCCAACATATCAATAAGCAAAAGTATACAGTACCTGTCTTCGGAGAGACTTAATAATGCTCTTTATTAAATATGCTCCCAACATAATAATCGAAACCAACATTATCTAGTCTCTGAAGCTTCTCAGAGTACTCTTCTTTAAAGTAAATCTGTCATATAAAAATCGTATATACTCAAAAATTACCGTAAGTATTTTTGTATTTTAGAGAGTGTTACAGGTGGAATTTTGAAACCTTTTTGAATAAAATTTTTTAAGAACAAACACCTTAATTTATTCATGACCCAACCTTATATAGTCGTAAAAAATATGTACATGCTGTCAAGCTGAGACTGACTACGAACAGAACTGATAAGGATTACGATATACAAACACCATAAAACCTAACCCCAACAACTCCTAAGGAACATAAGTACACATGTACATATAACCTATAAACTGTGTGTGTAAATAAAATTATAAAAAATAAAAAACCGAGTGCAGCAAGAAATAAATATTCCAAATATAATATGTGAACGCACGATTGACTTTGCAAATAATAAACTGATATTAAAGCATACTTTCAGGCGGCATAGGCGTCAACAGCTATCGGAAAATAATAAATTTAACAAGTATCTATGAAAAGCAAGACGATAAGTGAGATCAATAACGACACGCTTACATGCACACGCTACTTAGAGCCTTGCAAAAAGTTTTTATGCCGTGTAAAGGAAATTTGAGCGAATGGCGTGACTGTGTGCGTGCGCATTGGCGACGATACCTGAGTCAGCAGAAAAAATTAATTTCTAGATTCAAGTGAAAGAAAAATGTGCGAAAGTGAATGAAATGAAAGAAACCACACAATCTGG